TTTTTTTTAATAATTTTAATTTAAAAAAAAAAAATGGTAAGTTCCAGCAATTTGCCTTAAGGCACGACGCCATACACCACTAGTTTATTATCTCAAGGTATTTGTCTGTACAAATATGATTATTTATACAAGATATGATTATTACAGTTACCTATGAGTGTTTTTCCAGTACCAGGAGGTCCAAACAATAAGATACCTCTCGGAGGCCTCCTGAGACCAGTAAAGATATCAGGTCTCAACAGCGGCCAAACTACAGACTCTTGAATACTGGATTTTGCAAAATCAAGACCGGCAATGTCATCCCAACCTAATGAAAAAATTTAGTATAAATATATGATAAACAAATCAATTATTTACAATTACCTATTTTATTCCCTGTGTCCATTATTTCATTTCTAATTAACTCGACCATTTTAGGGTCAATATGTTGTAATCTGGGATCTATTTCACCACCAACTTCTTTGGGAGGACTAGAATTCCAAGCAGATTTATCATTGCTGAAATAAAATGAGTGCATTATAACTACATATATAAACTATTAATAATTAAGTTAAATCCATTACTCGTTTGCTATAGGTGGTACAAATTTGTTAGTAACTCCTCTTCTAGTGCCCAAAGACCTTTAAAGACTTCCGTAGCCATAATTATCAGTTTTTTGACCCTGATTCTTTTCATTTGTTGCAAAATAAGTTCACTTTTGGCTGTTCTAAACGCATTGGTAGTACTCGGTGAATCAGGTTGGTCAGGGATAGAAGTCTTATTATTGTTATTGTAGGTACTTGTGAAAGATGGTTGGCGAGAGAACTTATTAGGTGCAGAATTTGATGTATATTGGAAATTTGGCTTTGGTGTAAAAATATTTTTAGACTTGTCTCCACTACTATTATCAGTATATTGGAAATTTGGTTTCAGTTTAGTAATATTTTCAACATTGTCTTTATTAGTCTTAGATTCTGTCGGTTTTGAATTCTTAGCTTTTACCAACATTTGTATATCTTTGTCAGTAACGGTACAACTCCTAAATTTCTCAAATCTTTTCTTAGCATCGTCTTTTAATGAATCTGCAGAGCTTTTCCAAGTCTTAGCATTTGATTTATTTTTGCAAGCTGCTGCTAAAGTGAGACAAGGTCCTGCGTAGTTATTAACAGCATTTGGACCTTGCATAGTGTCCACGATCGAACAGTATTCTTTGAGATCATTTTCAAGAAGCAAAGCTGTTGCTTCTGGCTTCAGTCTGAGAACAATAATAAAATAAAAGATTATAAAAATTCAAGGTAGTAATAATAATGTTTTATAACCTAAATCAACAAAACAATTGTAATAAACTATGTTTATTTTTATAATGACTTACAGTTTTAAAGATGTTGCATGTGTTAAAGTCATAAGTTTCTTTTGGTTTCACATTTTGAGAAATCATTAACATTGGATTCTTTTAAGTAAATTGTTTGATAATGATGTGTGAAATTTACATTATCTTGTTCTGACATTTTGGAACTATTAATTATCACAAATACTAAAGTTTAAATTCAAATTGTTGCGATAATTTAAAATAACGGAAGTTTAACTATGAAGAACGAGGGAATGAAACAAGTTTATATGTGCGATATCCAATTTATTTTATATCTTGTATTAAAACACAAAATGAAATATTAAAATACTATTTTCTTTAACTAGTTTGTCATATTAATTTTATGAGCAATGTTTTTGACATAAATGTTCTTCAGGTTACGTCAATGTTTCTCAATGACATTTTTACAGTAAAGCTTCGAGTTTAAAATATTGCGATTAATAGAATTAACATTAAAGTTTGGAAATCCTTGTATTGTTTGTCAAAGAAGCTGCTTTACCGATCTAAAATTTTTAAAATTGTTCGGTCAAATATATTCCTGTCAACGTCGTTTTACATCATCAGGCAACACTAAATTTTTTAATTAAGCAGACGAACTGTCAAAGTCAGATTCGGTCACGCACAGCGTGGCTTAATTTATAGGTTATAAAGTTTACAAAACAAATATTTATTTTTAATTATTACTTACAATTATGTAAATATAATTCAAATATAAACAATGTCAGCTTGTATGATGTGTATATAGTATAGATAATAAGTAGATATTCAAAGGTTTGTGTTTACATTTTTTCTACCCCCAAATATATAATTTTGTCATTATGGACTTTGCAAAGAATCAACTTTTGAAATATGGATGGAAAGAGGGTAAGAATTTATATTATTTTCAGATATATGTTTCTCTTTACATAACATTATTTTTATTAAGAAGATTAGAATGCCAATTTTGAGTATAACTCTAAGGAATGACTTTAACAAAAATGTGTAATTGTTCAATTTAATTCATATTTTATAAAACAACCTATTTATTCTGATTGAATTTCTTAATTCAGATTAAATTATTAATTATTATTAAGTTAATTCTTGAGTTGTTCATAAATATCATTAATATTATTATAACAAATTGATAATAAAATATGTATCAATGTAAATTGTAACTATTGCATTTAAATAAAGTCTATCTATTATCGAGACTGTTACAAAATTTGTAGTATGCACTTTGTTTATCCAATTATTAGTAGTATAATATTTATCCAATTATTAGTAGAATAATAAATTTAAAAAACTTTTATGAAACATTTCATTAAAATCCTTGCCAATATGTCATTATATAAAAATATCACAATTTACATTATTTGTGCTCCAGTAATTAAAATAGATTAATTAATAAATAATACATGTTAAATAAATTTTATTATTATATCTTTTCCCCTTTTAGGTGAAGGTCTTGGTAAAAACAATGATGGTATATCGTCAGCTCTGAAACCAAGTTTGAAATTCGATAAATGTGGAATCGGTCATGATCCTGCAAAAGAATTTACAGACCATTGGTGGGAAGAGGGATATAACAATGCTGTCAACAATATTAATGTAAATGGATTTAAATAAACACAAAAAATAGTATAGTCACTTTAATTAACCAATTAGAATGCTATACAAACTAAATCAACTAAAAAAGAAATATTCATTATTGATGTCTTTTAAATTATTCATAAAAAAATATTTCTTATTTCAATAGGTTTCAAATTCAGAAGGAGACGTGAAAGTCTCTGCCGAAAAATGTTTAGAAGAAGTAAAAAAGACTAGTAGAAAAGCTAAATACGAATCATTCTTAAAAACATCTACCTTAACCAGTCAAGGCTACGAAGAACAAACTGACACAAAACAAGAGTCCATTACCAAACCAATTAAACACGTAGCACTTACTGATGAAGAATTACTAAAAGCTTGCGGAAAACGAACTGCTCATAAGTAAGAAGAATGATATATTACATTTATATTTATTTTTATATGTATGTTTATATTTATATATTTGTATTTGTATTTATATTTATGTGTTACAATAAATAATTAATATTTATTTACAGAGGAGCAAGACATGGATTAAATTTGACTGGCAAATTAGCGAGAATTAAAGCTCAGGAAGAAGAATTGTTGATGTTGTTTAAGAATAAAAATAAATCTTTAGAAACCAATAGTGATTCGTTATCCAAAGTATCAAAGAAGAAGAAACGTAAACATAAATCAAAAGAGTAACTGATATTTAAAAATATAGCATTTATATTTTGAAACATGGTGTGTTTTTTTTATAATTACAAACGGGTTAAACAATTTAACAAACAAAATGTGCCTAAAATAGCATTTTAAACATAAGAAGTTTATTGCCTCATTAAATTCTATTTTCTGCCTTTTATAGTTAAGCTAAGGGCACATTTATTTTTTGAATAAAGTTCAATTTTAATCTCCTTTGCACAAACAATGTAAATTGTGATATTTTTAGAATAACGACATATAAGCAAGGATTTTAATGAATTATTTTATAAAGGTTTTTTATATTTTTTGTACCAAATAATACTTATAAATTGTGTTATTAATAATTAGTTAAACAAAGTACATGCTACAAATTTAGTAACAATCTTGATAATAGATAGATAGTCTTTAATTAAATGCAATAGGCACTATTTACATCAATAATATTTATGAACAACTCAAGATTAACTGAAAGATAATTAATAATTAAATTAATTCAACCTGGATTAGGAAATTCAATCAGATTAATTAGGTTGTTGTATAAGATATTTTCTAAAATTTGAATGAAATTGAACAATTACTCAGGTCAAATCATTTTTAAACATTAAACATTTTTGTTTGAACTCATTGAGTGATATATTAATTTAAATTAAATTATTTAGTGAAAGAACAGTAATTTGTGTAATTGTTTAATGCTATAAGTTTTGCTTATTTCATAGCAATATTGTCTTACAATATATTTGTTTGGAGGTTTAACCCTCTTAATTTTATCCATGCATATCAAATATCACTAAATAATTTAAAGCCATTTGAATTAACCGCTTATTCAATTAGTATTACCACATCTAATTTTTCCTTCTAGAATGTTACCACTTCACATGGCAACACTATAAACATCGCGCCATTTAGCAAATATCCATGCGTTTGCTTTGCTGACAGAGACTGAACATTCCAACAAGTCCGTTGGCCAGCAATACCGGCGAAGAAAAATAATTATACTTTATTATTTGTACACTTTTTAGTTTTGTGACCGAGTTAAATAAAGAATATTCAAAATGTTTTGGGGTAAGTCTTTTCTAATTATTTAAAATTAACGCGAAACACGTGTTGTGATGCTCGATTGGAGGGCACATAACCTATGTAATGGAATTTGCAACATGTTTAATGTAAAACTGTAGTTTTAGGGAATTAAATACGTGTTATAGGTGTAATTTTATTCACAGGCAAATTTGTACTTGCTGTTTGAATAATATCGCCATTTTAGCTAACCTAATGTTGTCTTTGCAAAAACGTGTTTTCAAAATGGATTGTAGATTCTTTTATCTAAGAACAACTCTTTATTGTCTTGATCAATATGTTACAAATAGTTTTAACAATTGGAATGAGATTATAATAATCACTTTGTCAATCTTGGCACATTGGAGCCCCCAATGTGCACTTAAACATTGTCTTGCATATTAGCTTTATAAAGGTTATGTTTTAAATTTACTTTTTAGCCTACTGCCATTTTTATCTTATTTTGAATTTGATGAATAATCGTATCATGTTTCAATTGTGCATTTAAAACATGCCTTGCAGTTTTCTGGTAAATCTTTAATTTAGTTTTTTAGTTTATCATAAAGTTTCAAATATAACTTTAATATTTATTTTTCCCAGGACTGATTATGGAACCTAACAAGCGGTACACGCAAGTAGTAGACAAATCTTTCCATGTATCGCAAGCAGCATTAGACATTAACAGCAGCGATGGGGAGCCTTGTCAAATTATGTTGGCGTACGAGAAAAGAAACTATCTTATTGGAACTTTGCAGAAAGGAAAGGTCATGCAGATTCCTTTGGATTTAAATTTTGAACAGGGAACTAAAATGTCCTTCACAAGCAATGGTAAGGGAGGGAAATAATAAAAAAAATAAAATACTAGTCTTTGTGATGTTTCAATGTCTTCTTCTATTTTAGGAAATTCTCACGTCCACTTAACTGGTTATTTAACCCCGGATGACCCATATGACAATATTATGGATGAATCCGGAAGCGAGTTGGAAGAAGAGGTCCCTGAATTAGTCCCTGCCAAAAAAACCAAACGTAAAGCAATGGAACCACAACCGTCGACTTCTAAAAAATCCAGATCTTCAGATTTGGAAGATCTCTTGAACAATACAAAAGATGATACCTCGAGCGAAGACGATGAGGACTATGAGCCTGATGGTGTAGTCAATGACAGGTAAAATATTTTAAAACCACGTAAACATCTAGGGCTGTTTTATTAAAATTCTATTTCTTTCAGTGATATGGATATTAATGCATCAGACTTAATGGAGGATGAGTTGGATGATGATGATGATGACGACGACGATGATGATGATGTTGAAGGAGCTGGTGATAATGATGAGGACGATGATGATGACGACGACGATGATGATGAAGAGGGCGAGGATGAAGATGAGGAGGAAGAGGAAGAAAAGACTGACAACAAAACCAAAGCAAATAAGAAACCACAACAGAATGGAGTATCAGACCCAAAAAAGAAAAACAAAGCTGAAAAGAATCAACAGAACGAACAAAAGGGACAAAAGAAAACTCTTGCCGGTGGAGTAATTGTTGAGGAATTGAAGGTTGGAAGTGGAAAAGTCGCACAGAGTGGAAACAAAGTTCAAGTAAGTAGTAAAGGACATTTTGCGGTTATAGATATTTTAATTGCATAAATTTTTCATGTTAAGCGGGCGTTTATTAATCATATCATCAATTTTTAAGGATTTTTGGAATCCCTTCCTTGGTGATTTATCAGTCAAAATTATTTTCTCTCTCCCACCAAACATCACATGCATTTTTAGTTACAAAAAAAGTTGTAAAATTTTTGATTTTCTTAAATGTTTTTTTTCATCCCTTCATTTTGCTATTTTTGTCTCTTTTCATTTGACTATTTATCTTGATTTTATTATCTCTTAATTTTGCTATTTTTCTCCTTTAATTTTGCAGTTTTTTCTTTCATTTTGCATTTTTCTCAATTTTACTATTTCAATTATCTATTTTTTACATTATATTTTCACTACTGTCCAAATTTTGCTGTTTTTCTTAATTTTACTGATTTCCAATTTAATTTGTTAATTTTACTCTTGGACTCTTTAATTTGTCGCTTCTTAATTTTGTTTACCTCCTTTCATTTCCTTTTTTTTTTCATCTTACTGCATTTTTTCAAAATTTTACAATTGTGTAATTTTTTTAATTACACTGTTTTTACTTAGTTTTTCTCTTAAATTTGCTGTTCAACTTATTGAAGTTTTTTGTAACTATTCTTATTAACTTTCCTTAATTTTTCATCTATTATTTTATAATTTAATTTTTTTTTTCTAGGTATATTACATCGGTAGGTTGAAACAAAACAACAAAGTTTTCGACAGTGCACAAAATGGACCAGGATTCAAATTCGCTTTGGGCAAGGGAGAAGTCATCAAAGGTTGGGATGTTGGTGTAGTCGGCATGAAAGTTGGAGGCAAAAGACGCTTGACAATCCCACACCACATGGCGTAAGTATAATAATCCAAACTTAAAAATACAAGATTTCAAAGCATATATTAGGTTGTCAAATATCTCCCTTCCGCTTTTTTGCTCTTGGTTTATATATACAAAAAGGCAGAAGGGAGATATTTGACAACCTTATAAATTTCTTATATTATATAATTTATTTATATATTATATATTTTTTTCTCTAGTTATGGCACAAAGGGCAGCCCACCAGTAATTCCACCAAACAGCACATTGGTATTCGAAGTAGAATTAAGAAATGTACACTAAAAATATGTCGATTAAGTAAGCAGCCATGCAGTAATGCTGATATATATTCATAAGATAAACTTTTAATTAGTTTAAATCGATTTCATGTAACTTTTTGTGTACTACATTTTTTAGTGTATAAGAATGAATGAATTATTCTCGTCTGTTAAGCATTATTATTATTGTTGTCATTTTTTTTATTCAAATATATAACATTTGTACAAGATAAAGGAAACTTTAGTAAATTTTAGGTTAAGTTAGATTCTTTTATTTTTTGTATTACAATCTGTAAAGTATGAATGTGATAAGTGGGCATTTTAAAAACAATTTAGTGATAAAATATGCAAGCATAATTTGAACACATAGCAGTATATGAAATGCAGCTCTGATATAATTATTTTTGTGTATCCAAAATAATGTTCTAACTTACAGCAAATTGCTATTTTGATTCAAATTTCAAACTGTTGTGAAAATAATTCACTGAACTAAATATTAGCATCATTTTGTTTCAAATCAAGTTGCATGAACCATAATATTAATTTATGAGTGATTTATAAGTATAGTTAGTTACTGCAGAGCATTATAATGTGCAAGATATTGTAGGTTATTTTGTACAAATTATTCAAACAAATGTTTTGAATAATTTTTAAACAATTTTTCAAAGGGCACCTGATTAATCTAAACTTGAAATAACTTTTATACCTAAAGCACTTGTTGTACGCCTCTAATATTTTAGTATATTCATTAAAACCAAAAACTCTTCCGCCATAAAATTTTTATTAAAAATCGCCATAAATAATTTATTAATCATTCAATTCTAAAACTAATCAGCACGATTGCGAAATGATATATCTTCGCCTGGTGAAAATGTCCTTTGGGAAGTTAATAAATTATACACTTTATGTAGACAAAAATATTTGTAATTTATATAAAATTTATCCTTTTCATGCAGTTTAAATTTTGCGCGCAAAAGTTGTGGTGATATCTATCAGCATGAAGTTAGATTCACATAGTATATCCTTTTTCAAATCAAGGATTAAACATATATTTTATTATATTTAAACATTAAAATGATTGAAATACTCAGAATTAATTAAAGCAATTTATCAGCACGATTGCGAAATGATACATCTTCACCTGGTGAAAATGTCCTTTGGGAAGTTAATAAACTATATATTTTGTTTGGACAAAAATATTTTAAATTTGTACAAAATTTATACTTTTCATACAGTTTAAATTTTGCGCGTAAAAGTTGTGCTGGCATCTATGAGCATGAAGTTAGGTTCATATTATATATCCTTTTTGAAAACAAGGATTAAACAAATATTTTATTATATTTAAACATTTAAATACCTAAATGTCTATTACAAAATACTCAAAATTAATTAAAATTATAATAAAATTAATTTTGCATAAATTTCTGTTTTCATTATCATTGCTCATGTTTGCCCACAAAAACACACAGCGCTAGTAGTCCTTACTCTTTAGTCGCACATAATGTGTCATATGTTATTGACGTATTTATACGTCTCAAACACAAAAGTAATTAAAAACAAGCATTTTTAACAACAATTAATTTCCAGTGCCTTCAAACAAAATCGAATTAAGTATAAACATTTATAATTTCTATCAATAATTTCTTCAAATTGTCATCTGTGTTAGTTATCTGTCAAAATAATCTGTATTAGTTATCCGCCGGCTTTGAATTTTGACAGAATTGTTTTTACATGCTTTTTAAATGTTCACAAACCATAAATGGATACGGAAATATTATTGACGATTCAGGATTTTATGAAAATGGATATCCTACCGTTACTTGTGGGACAGGACAGGAATTTTTCGACGATCATTCTGGATACATGGCTCGGGGGAGCCTTGACAGTCCTGGCGGAAAATGTAAGTTTTCATTTATTTTTGAAAAAATTCGTGCTTTTTGCCAGAAAATACGACATGCTAATTTTGTATCAAGTCATTCTGAATCGTTTGATGAAACTGTAATGAAAATTAGAAAAAGGATGTGTATGTGCGAGCCAAAATTTGACATTTCTTTGACTGTCAAAAATGTTTGCACTGGTTTCAGAAATTTAAAAGCCCATGAATTTCGAAATGTGCTCGCTTTTGATCGTTTTTTGCATTGATCGGCCAAGCCGTGTTTTTTACAATCAGAAAAATACAAAAATTTACCTTCACATTTCCAAAAAAATCCTTAACCGATTTTGAAAATTCAAAAACCGTTCGAGAGATATCATTTGCATCATTAAAAAATTACAAAAAACGGCTCAGCTGACCAGAACGATTATCCTGATAATCGTAATTTAGTGAATATAGTCTAAAATGAAATTTTAAAATATTTTAGGCCCAAGAAAAATGGTTGAATTACAAAAATTTATTCAAATAGTATTTTTTTTTACCAACTTGCCTTAAGGCAAAATGCCACTTACACCCAGTTTATGAGATAAAATGGTGTAAAAGACCTTCAAAAATATAATTCAATAATTTATAATTCAATATTGCATTTATTCATAACATGTAAATTTTAATCGTAAAACGTACTGTACTTATATCAATTATCATGAATTGCTAATTAATTTGTTTACGTAATGCGAAATGAATAATTGGTATTAATATGAATTAAATTTATGTTTTTTACATAAAAATACACATACATATGGATAAATGGATATATATTAATACATATAATAATTAGCAGCCCATTCGTCGAATTGAAAAAGGTTAAGAGGGAAACATTCTTAATTAATATACGTTTCGACACTTGATGTGTGCCATCATTCAATAAATATTTTTTAAGATAAGTTTGTAATTTTATGGTGTAAGTTGGTGCCAAATCCAGCATAATATTTTTATAAATCTATCCTTATTCGTACAATAAGTGTTGAATCAGGTAAAACTGATTATCAAGTACAGACTAAAATATCATTACTCAATAATGAAAGTTATAATTTAAGATAAAACCAAACCAAACCAAAAAGCAAAAAAGTGTTTGCTTTTACATATCAAGAAGAGAGCCATATGCAAAAGTACCTCTTCACTATGTATATCTATAAAATTGATATTAATACATTAAATTAAATTATATATATACATTTTATGTACATTACACATATATGCATTCAAATATTTTGAAACTAATGGGGAGCATGGCATCGTGTCTTAAGGAACACAAAAATCTTGGTACGAAACCCAAAAAAAGTACACAAAATGTGTACAGATTATGAAAATCTGTATGAAATATCTGATAATTTGATGTACATATGTTCAATAAACATTTTTATCGCCAAACGACATTTTCTCAACTTATTTTTATTGATAGTCCATAACCGCTGGACCTGCCTTTCCAAAAATTTAACCAATTCTTCAGTTTGTCAATTCAAGTAAAATGTTTTTTTAAATTTTTAAAATCGGACGATCCGTTTTCTCAAAATCTGAAATACCATTTTTGGCACTTTTTGCCCCGTATCTTCGGAACGGCTAGAACTGCCTTCGCCAAAAACTAATCAGCACGATTCGTTATCAATACGAATCGAATGTTTTTTGAATTATTCAAATCGGTTTCCCGTAATCGTCGACGAAATTTTGTATCCATACACACACATACATACATCCATCCGTTTTTTCTAAGGTATGCCAAAATATTCAGAAACCACTGAAACGTAAACATATATAAAAATTTTCATTTTCATTTTTTTTTTGATTACTATAACTTACTCTATGGGAAGTTAAAAATCGTGTACAATTTCACCCTATAAACATATGTGGGTGCTGTAACAAATGCGCTGTTGCATTTTTTCAGTTTTTTTGGAAATTTAACATTCAAAAGAAATTAGGCTGTTTGATTATGACAGGATGCCAATTTTTTTGGTTTCTATTTACAATTTGAATTTTTAATCATCAAGATATAACCAAAAATTTATTTGGTTCTGGTGGTTTATCTCCTAACCGGTTTCGGTAGCTTATCATGGCTGTCAACAAAATTCCTTCTTACAACTGTGACTTTTGCACCAAGATTTGTTTAATAAAGTGATAATGAACGTTCGTTCTCCTCTCCCATGAGTTGGCATCGAATCGAGTACATATTATGATATTAACCAAGGTCGTGTAACTTTGAAGCGAAAACAGCTGTCTGTGTAAAAAACCTACACTATGTAGAGAATAAATTTTTGCGTTGCTTTGCTTTGTAAGTAAAAGTAAACAACTGTCCCACGAGCATTTGACAAATTGTCCTTTGTACATTGTGTCTGTCGGTAATCAAATGGGTACTCATTGTGATTCAACCGTACAGATAAATATACCGAATGAGTCATTGTTTGGAACTTTGAACCGTGATCGAGAATTCGAAATCTGATAAAAAATCGAACTTATACTGTTCGGACGTCCTTTCGTTTTATTATATTGGCCATGAAGGTGACAAACTTCAGGGCATTAAGCTTTACACGGAATGGTTGCTACCCCTGGTGGAGGGGGTTGCGGAGTCTTTTAATGGAACTAGTTGTTCACTTCTAAAAGTAATGTCCGCTTTACAACATGTATAATAAATAATAAATATATATATATATATATATATATATATCTTCTTTCATTATAACTTAGTGACAAATCAGTGATTGTAATTAGAACTGCAACAAATACATAATATACAAACAAATCAGTATTTATTACAGTCCACAACTACAAGGGTTAAATTATAACCCAACAACCTGAATTATCGAAGGAGAGTTTTAATAAATTCTATAACTACGTCACAAAAGTACAGATACTTTTTAGAAAAGTACAGAGTTTTTAGAAATAACACATTCACTAAATCTCAAGTGAAAAATTGATATCATACCTGCTTGATATCAAGCTGGTCGAGGTAGGGTGTCGAACTTGTGTTATCCATTCATGCTTGAAAATATAAATCAATTAGTGGTGCATGGCATCGTGCCTTAAGGAAAACTGATGGATCTTCCAGGACTGAAAATTAAAATTTTTAAAAAACCTTAACATTTTTCTGAAAATTGAAAAAAAATTGAGATCCTTGAAATTTTTGAAAAAAAAATTGACTTTTTTGAATAATTTTAATTTGAATAGTTTTGATTTTTTCCATTAACTTCTCGTAGGGCAAGTTATAGTAATCGCAAAAAAATCTAAAACGAGAATTTTTATATATCTTAACGTTTCAAAGGTTTCTGAACATTTGGCATACCTTAGAAAAAATGGATGTTTGTGTGTGCGGATACAAATTTTCGTCGACGATTTCGGGAACACGTATGAAGCGATTTGAATAATTCAAAAAACATTCGATTCGTATTGATAAGGAGACGTGCTGATTAATTTTTGTCGAAGGCAGGTTTAGCCGTTCCGAAGATATGGGGCAAACAGTGTCAAAAACGGTAATTCAGTTTTTAAGAGAACGGAGCGTTTGATTTGAATAATTCGAAAACATTTTACTTGTATTAACAAGGTGAAGAACTGATCAAATTTTCATGAAGGCAGGCCTAGCGGTTTCGGAGATCTAGTGAAAAAAGTAAAAAAAAAGCCATCTGGCGGTCAAAAATGATCATTAGACATATGCACATCAAATTATCAGATATTTTATAGAGATTTTAACAATAAGTATAAATTTTGTTTACATTCCTATGGGTTCCGTACAAATATTTATCCGTTAGACGGCGACGCGGCGCTTACGCGCTTTAACATTTCATCTCTATGCAGTTAAAGCAGTACGATTGCTTCGAAAAAAAGTTCAGAATTTCCAAAATATGTCAAAATAAAGAAAACATTTTATTTCAATAAAAATTATCTAATTTAAAGTTTCTCAAAAAGCTAATTTTTTTTAAGTAAAATTTTATCAAAAATGTTAATCGTTTTTAAAAAAAATAATAATAATTTTTGGTACGGGAAGTTCCAGCAATTTGTTCTAAGGCACGATGCCATGCCCCACTAGTTAATATTTTTTCTCAAAAAGTGAATAGCAATTTTTTACTTTTTTGTCCCGGGTCTCCGAAATGGCTAGATCTGCCAGAAGATAATCTTTCGAACGGTTTTCGAATTGTCAAAATCTGTTCAAGATTTTTGGAAATGTGGATGAAAAATTTTGTGGATTTTAAAGAAACTGTCTCGCAAAATTGACTAACGTGGTTTTTCTTCGAGGTTTATCGAATCTTTAAATTGACTAGTTTTTGGTAAAAGCAGTTCAGCCATATCGGAGACCTGGGACAAAAAAGCAAAAAAATGGATATTCACTTTTCGAGAAAAAATATTAAAAAGACGTTTTTGTTTTCAAACACATCATAATTTTCAAAAAATTCTAATTTTCTAAATTCTAAATCACAAAATATCTATATTTTGCTAATTTTGAATCTATTAAATATTTTAAATCAAGGTAAAGAAAGTTTCAGCAATTTGCCTTAAGGCACGATCCCATGCAGCACTAGTTAATTATATATCTATTTGTTGGAAGTTTGCTCATGGGTTAGTGGTTAGAGCAATGGGATTTTAATCATCCTCAAACAACCCGATGTCAATAAATATGAATGGTAAAATGATCCATATGTATATATGAATCTGTATATTTTGCTATGATGATATAACACATCCGTCGTTAATGAAATGCCACAAGTGTAGACATAACAATATAACACATAACATGATATAATCTTATTCCACTTCATAGAATTCCACTATTATTTTTTATTGATTGCAAAATAAACAGCTGATCAGTTTTTTTTGCTTGCTCGGCCAATGAAAGTTGATTCGTCCGCGAAGAACAAAATCGGACGATCACAAACCTCTGAAGATGAATATCAAATTTCGAGATAATGAAATTTGTAATCTCATTCTTAATTGTGAGATAAATATTATAGACTCTCTTATTCGCTTGTAAATATATTTTATAA